CGCTTAGTGTCTGAAGATATATAATTTTGATAGTAACAAACAAAGTTTAACCTATTTAAAATGAAAAGGAGCCCCAGGGAGACACGAGATTCAGTCCGGCCAGCCATGGCAGTTAGATATGTTTACTTTGTAACCCGAACCCCAAAGTGAGTTAGGTTTCTTGCAGATGTTAACAGACCCTGGACCTGAGGAGATCTAGACTTGCTTCATTTAAGGCTTTAGCATTGTAAAAAAGGCTTGGCAGTAGGGGAAATAATGTGGTTCAGGGACTGTGAGACAGACTAAGCAGTAAGTAAAATAATGTGGTTCAGGGACTGTGAGACAGACTAGAAAATGCATGGCAACCTACACTTCATTGTGACTATGATTAAGGCATCATTTTAAAACACAAAGGTTATTTCCTTTGCGTTAACTGACAGGCTTTCGGTGTCAAATTATTTGGAACTCCGGCCAAAGGTGATGTTATGCTGTCTGGAAATATGGCCTTGCAATGCTTTGGTTGGACATAACGATAATCTCAGCTGACTAATACTTTGCACGTGTTTCCCCCCACTCTTTCCATACCCGTAAAAGTTAATTTTCCGTATATATGTCTGTAAGAAAATACTGTAAAGTAATGGGATGGCTGAATTTGGCCACCTGAGGTAGTGACCACAGCACTCTGGTTATACTGCATTCAGAAAGGACAGAGCTTGGCAAGATACCAATAAATATGCTTGTCATTTATACCTTTATCTGATGTTTGTAGAATGTGATTTTATAATTGAAGATGCTTCCTGCACATGTAGCCCCAATATAGATGTTGTTAGTCTGTGAATCTTCCAAATTACTTCGTCTCTTTTTTTTCAATTGAAATCAGGATCTTTGCCTTTATCAAAATAATATATTTTCAGTCTTAATGTGCCTATGTCGGGAATCAAACACCGGTTTTTGACCTTACAGGCGAACGCTTTAACCACGAACGTACCCCATCATTCCTTGATACTGTTAAAGAATATACATTGGTACATTTATTATACATTCAAGATTGAACCCAGTTTTGTCACAATATATCCTTCAGTTTTTATGTTAGTGACATGATCTGCACACTGATTATTTAAAAAGAGGAATATAAATAATGATTGTTTGCGATCTTTATCCAATTTAGTTTTCCATTTATCTAGTAATTTTCAGTTTCTATTTCCTGGAAATTCTGTACGAAGGTACTTTTAACAGTTTGACCCAATAACAGTAAAGCATACAGATAATACGTTTCGGTACTTTGATAGATAAATAAGTACACATTATATTCCATGCTACTGAGATACCAAAATGATTAACATAATTATATAATGTATAACAATTTAGACAGCAAAAAGCAAAAGCAAAAAGAAACGCATGGGCAACATAAATGCTGTCAGGTTGTAAGATTTCAATAATTATCGAAACTGCTTTGTTATGAGCTAATTGCAATCACTACAATTTTCTATAGTCTACCCAAGAGATGGAAACAAAATAGGTCTATTATGAAAATTATGAGCTAATTGCAATCACTGCAATTTTCTATAGTCTACCCAAGAGATGGAAACAAAATATGTCTACAGTATATTCCGTCGGGTAACTGAAATTTGAGAAAACGTCCGTATGGGATAATACCTGTATTCCGAATCAAAAAGAGGGCATACCAATTATGTGCATGTTTACAACAGTAATTTACACCGGGAATCATTGATACATTGTAATCATCTTTTATGAAAGTATAGATAAGGAACTTTGTTCAGTTATGATCAATCGGATTACTCATACAAGTGAGCACTAAAATTAGGGACCTACCGGTTCATGTCTGTGTGAACACATCTGTCTGTGTTTTATTGTAATTAGCACTGTCTCCTTGTATAGCATATGTGTACCTAAGGTCAGTTATATAAACTGTTATGTAATTTCCATTACAAAAAGTATAAACGAAATTACCTAATGGTCAGAAAGACTTATCAGTACCCCAACACCGACCCACCGCCACCACCCCACCCTAGACCTACCCCATGCCACACCCTCTCCCTCGCACACACACACACACACTCCCTAACATACATATCGCTCTGGCCCAAAGACCCGATATTTGAACCTTTTAAACAGACACCATGTGTATGTCAAGAAAGACACGCGCGTTATTAGTGGTGCTCAGTCATGGGTATCACTTCACCATGTGTTTCTAATTATCTCAGTACATAATGGCGTGGTCGGACGCGCTAACGAACCCTATGTGACAGTTACATTACAGAACCATTGAAATACATGTTAAAGTAGTGCTAATCATGTAACACTATATTTACCCATTTCCAACCATTTACGCATCTACTAAATATATGATAAATCTAACGCTGGTCATACGAGATTTCAAGGGTATTGAAATGCATGTCCTACAATCACAGCATTTACATATGTTACACATGTTAGGAAACACATGAAAACAATGGCCAGATTTACACACCTGTGAAATACATGTAAATGCAGAGTTGAATCTTGGTTTATTTCAACACCCCTTTAAACGTGTGTAAATCTGACGGCCAGATGATCCGTAGATTTCAAACGTTGTTCATATGGCCGCCGGATGAAACGAGAATTTCCTGACGTTAGTAAATTTGGGTAATACAGTCATTTTGTGTGGTGTTACAATGCTACCTAACAATTATATCAAGACGCTAAAAATGCTCTCAACCAATTCCCTGCGGAAGGTCGCGGGTTCGATCCCCGATCGCGTTATACCAAACGACGTTAAAATATGGTACTTGTTTGTCCCTGCCTGGGGCTCGGCATTAACGGGTACAACAAGGACTGGTCGGCTCGTAGTCAGTATAATTTGTCTGAGTGGGGTATTCATGCTTCACTGCGGTATGGTATCTCAGTGGGCTAGCACTATAAAACCAGCTTAAGTCTGGGCTAGTACAAGCAGCCACATATACACATACACACGCAAGCACGTCGTCATATGAGCGAAATATTCTCAAGCACGACGTAAAACCCAATTTCACCTCACCTCAACCAATTCCCAAGCAAGATTAGATAGATTAAAATGAGCCAAAAGAAATGACCAATCTTTTCACAATAACTTACTAATAGAGGAAACAGAATTGGAAACAATATTATTGCACCAGTTAGCTGTCATTCAAAGACTGGCTACACTATTTAAAAAGATTGTAGCTGTACCGTCTGACAACTCTTTCAGTATAACCATTACAGGTATGTCTCATCACATCATACGTACGACATATCAAATAATGAAAAACGTGAACCCAGTTTGTTAAGTGAAAAGGGAATTTTCCAAACGTTTCCTTTCAACAATAGACCATACATGTTTTGTACTGGATTCTAAAGCCCCATAAGATCCCTTAATAGACAAATATTACTGTATATATTGCTTGGTGGACAAAATGGACCACCAAGTCCCCGCCTGACATATTAACCATATTCCTTAGCAGGATCAAAGAAGGACTTTGTTCTTCCTCACAGAAAGATGTTTGAAAGAGGTGGAATGAATACCATATGGACACTCGGAGAGATCTACTTGAATATTTGCAATCTCAGAAAAGTATCAGGCAGGGTCTATTCTTTCAGAAGATTTCATTTCTACACCTCCGTTCCCACTTAAACGTTTCAGGGGAAATGCTAGTTGTTTCAACCACAGAGTGTGTGTATGTGAATGTGGCAACGATGTATGGTGGCCTATGATTAGATGTGGATTTAGAAAATGATTATTCCATTTACACCCCAATTCCGTGCAAGCGATTTTCATCGTTTCCACGTTAACATCGTCGGGGTTAGAAATTTACTGTCAAACGTGTCAGCGTATTGTAGTACACGTCAGTTATAAAAGCAAACTGAGAGTTGTTCTCATATTGGTTTGCACACAATTAAACAGGGTGTTTTGCCTTTTCGGCGTCTGTTCAATAGTATGCTTCCAACTGAAACAATACAGAGTACTGTGGCACAAGTTCTTAACGTTTCACGGTTGGTCATTAGCAGGTTACAACCACGATATCGACAAAGAAAAAGGGTTGATAACAGATGTTGGTCTGGACAGCCAAGGCCTTTTCACCAGAACGACTGGGTTACGAAACCATAGTCAAAGTGCCTCTTAAATTCACAGGTGATATGTATCACTATATGGGACATTAAAACGTTGGGAAAGGGCCATAAAGTGTAACTTCGGTGCAGATATTTTATGATCTCATATCATCCACACTGGTGTAATAGCCAATTCCTTCCCTCTGATTTAACAACATAGAACCTAGAAATAAACAAGAACATAAAACAGCTTAATCTGTTTCATATGCTAAAGGGTTCCAAGTGGTGACAAAAAGGGGTGACCAAAAGCTCCAACAAATACTGTTTGACAACGGAGTGATTTCAATTTTTTATTGTCAAAATGTATACTGTACTATACAACTGGTGGGCAGAGCGACTGACTGACTGAGTTTGGTTTTACGCCGCTTTTAGCAATATTCCAGCAACATCACGGCGGGGGACACCAGAAATGGGCTTCACACATTGTACCCATGTGGGGATTCGAACCCGGGTCTTCGGCGTTACGAGCCAACGCTTTAACCATTAGGCTACCCCACCGCCCCCATGGTGGGCAGAGCGAACCATCAGTGTCAACATGCGTGTAGGTTCATCAATATACACATCGTTCCAACATAATCAAAGGATATTAGAATGATCAAGGTTGCCACTTGTTAGATTGCAACGAAGTCATTATCTGCAGAGGTGATCCAATCTTAGTGTGAAATGCGTTTTGTGTGCAATGCGGAGAGCATTGTTTCATGTTAAAGCAAAGCTATCACATGTCAAACATAATTGACTTTATATACTTTTGGCTGATTATGCATGATTCCGATCACTATTTTCACGAAATGGATGTAGTGAAGACAATGTAAATCAACGAAAAGAAATACATGTTTTATCACCTGCTGTCTTAAATTACTACTGTTGAGTAGTCTAATGAACAAGACATGACAAAGTTGATGGTTATGATGATTTATTGAAATCATACACTTGCAACGGAATCATTCAGAATCATTTACGAGATCAACTTCAATGGTGTAGTGCCACTCTCTCTACAATGGGGTTATCTGCAATAGAAACACATCGAATCACCTAATGTTCCACAATTTGACATAAAATGTTAAACATATATTTCCTGATCTTCTATGGTGACAATGGTGTCTACTCAATAAAACAGAAACATTTCTGTAAGATTTCATATTCCTTACCTCAATTCATTCCTCAATGTTCTCGATGGTCCTGGCGAACTCTTCCAAACTCACGTTTGTGTCTCCTACATGGAGAAATGTTGTTCAGGTCAGTGACAATATATATTCAGAAACTGCCAACGGCTGAAGGGATGATATAAATCCAGCTAGGGTCCATGCAGGAAGTAAAAGTACTGTAAGTCCCCATGGTCCCTAGTATGGTGATCTACTTTCAGTGGTTGGCGATCTATAGCCAATTTTTATATTGTATTGTCCAAATAGTGCTATTAGTTTTAAATTTCCACACTAGTTTTAGTTGTAATTGTGATATTCTAGTTGTTATACTGTCCTTTGCAGACAGGTTTTTATAATATACACATATTACATTTCAATGTCAAATATGTTCTCGTCACGATATGGCTGACATATTGCCGATGTGACGTTAAATATTAACTCACTCACTCACTCATATATTCAGATACAGAAGTATTCATCTTCCATCTTGTCAACCCTTTCTGACTCATAAAACATATTTCAGTAAAGATTACATTTGTATAACTGAGATAGTATGCATGAGCTCTAACCATTTTCATCTGCAAAAGAAAGCAACTCCATGGCCGATCGTCTGTCCATTATCGTCTCAGCTTCTGATTGGTCAATTGTTCCATCCATGTTTGCATCAAGGCTTTCCACATCACGTTTGCCTTGAAGGTAAAATAATAATGTTAAGAAAGATACACAGTGAAAGAAAGTCACCTATTGGACCATGAACTGTGTGTTTGTCTGCATGTTTGTTTGTTTGTTTAAATCCCTCAGTTACATTCAAGGTACATAACGGCGATCAGAAATGGACACTGGACCTGACAATTAAGTGACTGACATCATGAGAAGTGAGTCTTCATTTTGATCAGGATATGAGTCTTGATATGAAATAAACATTCAAATATCCATAGATGCATTCCATAACACCATGACGCCGTGTATAACTTCTCAAGATATACTTGAATACAAAATGCCAAAGACAACCCTGCATTATGTCTGTTTCTATGTGTCGCTCACCCAACAATACAGATCCAACTTTTACTGCTGTGCCAGCTATTCTGGCAACTCTTCGCCATCGAACACGTCTCCAGGCATCAGACTCTGACACCATCACTGTGGCCACAAGCAGGAGGACAAGGAACAAACGCATTTTGTGGGCTGTATTCTGTAGGGAACATAAATAATCCTTGCACGATTTGAGAATTTTCTTAACAATGAAGTCATGTTAGTATGTTATTTTATAGTCTAAATAATATTTCTATCATAAAGTAACCGATTTTGTTTGAGGAAATAATGTTTGCCTTCCGTTCGGATGTTCACATTGCTGAGTTGTCTAACGTATCCTTAGCAGGTGGAGTTAAGATATCTCTTTAAATTATTAACACAAATACCCTTTAAAGCTATAATGTTATACTTACCAGTAGTTGACAAATCACAACACAGTAACAAGGATGGGGCATTCCTCGTATTTATACTCTTCCCTGGGACAATCCCGTGAACTTTATCTGTGTGGGTTATGTGTTAGGTCCGTGTGTAAGAGAAGAGTGTAAATGGAAATGTGATGTCCGATAAGAAAATACATCAGTTCACACTTCCTTGGTATGATTTCAAAGAGGTTTGTGTTTGAAGTATGTTTACATCTGTTGCCAGACTGCCTCTATTAATCACTTATCACAATTTATTTGCTTTCAGGAAAGGGTGCCTGTGTGGGCAGAAGCGATTTAATGCACTAGTCTAATAGAATATATCACATTGATCTTAAAAGGTAGCTAGTGTTTACGGTTGTAACATATTGCTTTGAAACATTTCCACAAGTTGTCAATTAATTTGTCTCACTATATTGTAGATGGAGCCAACAACATTTGGGATAAAAGTTTTCTCTTCGTTGGAATCGTTCACAATACGGTAGGGTTAGTGGAGAAATAACGTTTGTGGATATACTTTAGTTGAGGAAAAGAAGACTTTTCAATATGTTCGTCAGTGAGTTGTCGGAACGTCCGTCATACATTTTGTGCTTGGCAGTCCACATTTTAATAGGTCAATGCATCAATTTCGTATTGGCTATGCGACATATACTCACGTTTCTACATTTTATATCCCTTGTGAAAAAAAGAGTCAAGTTGAGGCTGTGTTGTTTTTAAAGAAATGGAACTGTTTGATAAATTTAGCAACCTATGTTATCACATTAATAAATGGTAGTTTCAGAATTGGTAGATTAAATAAGCAGCTGAGATTCTTAGTGGCGGTATCCTCGAAGTACATGAGCATGTATTATTCTCCTCCTGAGTGTGGGTGGCTGACTTTCAAGTCGCAATTAGCAATATCAGACAATAAAATCCAGCAATTTCATCGTATTGGTCATGCAAAATATACACACGTTCCCACACCCTATATCCCTTGGGATTAAAGAGTCAAGATCATGCCTCTGGGATAGATTTGTTACTATATGACCCTTTCATATAGTCTATTTTAAATTCTATTTCAACTCTACTCAATCACTCCCGCACACGCACATGCAGATACACATTCACACGCACATACACAGGCACACACACGGACGGACGCACTCACTATCTCTTAACAGGATGGTAAATAAATGGCTTTGTATGTGCTTGATACATCCAGAATATCCTAACGAAGTCAGTTAGGATGTCATTTTCCAGTAAACTAGCAGAAGGGTAATATTAAATCTTTCCATATATTATAGTGAATTGCATCACAAAATTCAGCTCCTACAAAAACTCATCACCATCTTGTTTTACATAAACATCAACAACCAATTAAAACCGAGAAAAGCATTTCTTTCAGACATCAAAGGTTTCCGATGAAGTTTGATATAACTGTCATGATCCCTATTGAATCTCTCAACGATGGCTTGGCTGCGATGAGCCCTGGCAGCACAAGGCCTGACCTTGGTATCGTGTTTGTCCAGCAGGTGTGACACGACACCCATGAACTCCCGCCCGGGGTCAACTTGCAGCTCTGTGGGCCACGTCAGCGGACTGCGTTTGTATATGCGTTCGAATCCGCGGGCTTCCTGGACCGAGTCAAGGGTTCGGCTTCCTTGTAGCGACTGGCCACGTCCACGACGGTTAAGGCATACTTGTACCTCTTGTCGTGGGGTAGGAATAGGAGGTCGGCCTGGTGAACGCTATTGGGTATGTTAATACCAAACTTCCTTCTAGGCACGTAGCGTGGTGCCGGTAAATAGATCTGCCACAGGGCTTGTTTTTCAAGCCACGATTTGGCCTCCTCCGGGGGTACTCGCGCCATTTTAGCCAGCTTATCTACAGCGCTAGCTCCTTTCCAGTACCCACGCGGGCTGTAGTAAATAGCCTCAAACTTTCTCTGGTTCCGTGACATCGTCGTCGCCCCGACAGGGTATCATGTTTATGTACACTTATGTTCTTGGTTCAATTTTTTCTCATGCCCGTACGCGTATGTGTTTATCCCATCAATAGCTATCCAACGTTTAGTGTCCATCGTCGACAGAGACGTCTTGTTTATAGTCAGTCCGTATATCCTATGCCCAACACTTCTCAGCGTGTTCATTTTATGCCTGAAGGTACGGGTCTTGAACAGGGCTTCCTTGAATCTGGCGTGTTTGATGTGTTGTTTGACCACGTACTTCTTAACACCCTTAGCCTTCCGGATCTCACCATTGTCGGCCTTCAGGATGGAGTACATCTTAGGCCTCAAACCTATGTACTCGGCTATGGGCGTGCCAGCACACTCGTCCTTCATCTTACCTAGGACCTTTTTATTTACCGTGCTGTGTATGGCATGGTCCTTGGGGTAGTCACTGGTGTCATACAAATCGAGGCGTTTTTTCATGTCCTCGTACACGTCATCGGTTCGAATCTCCATCAGTAGGGAATCCGTGTCAGTGTACAGCACTTCACACCTGTCGTCGTACTGTTTTTTCAGTTCGTTGTAGTAAAAGTCGTACATCAGGTGTTTGGATAAATCGAGGATGCCCATCCCCACGTAAACAGGCCGGTTGAATTTGATGTGGCTTTTCTTCATGTGTAGGGCAACTAGGTCATCGGTGAATATTTTACTCCGGTTGAATGCCGGACTGGCTATCAGTCTCCTGAGCTTGTCTTCCTCATTCGACCGAACCAGCTTCATGGTCACGCGTTTCCTCAGGTTCTCCATAGTCTTACCAAACACCGAGTTGTTCATGAGCTTGTAGAGATTTTTCTCAAAGTCACTGGTGGCAAGCTTTCGGAGGTCCGTGTTCATTCTGATGTAAGGCTCCATCCAGGGGATCTTGTTGAACACGAGCACCCTGTGTATTTTGGTCAGCCTCATACCCAACGACAGGTACAGCTGTAGGTTGCGATAGTGAACGATGTACTTGGTCTTATTCATTAAGTTGGGCACGAGATTTTCAACGTCTGCCACCCGCCCACCTAACAAGTTATGTTGGTACCCAGACATCCAGTCTGGGTTAACCCTCATACATTCGGGGGCTAGGGGGTAGCTGTTGTGTGATGTGTGTAATGCCTTGGTGTATTCCAAGTCCACCTCGAGGATATAACCTTTGTTCGAATCGTCTGCGATGCTCATAACATCAACCTCGTGCGATGCCCATTCGAATCCCCCTGTGGGTAGATACTGGCTCATGGCCCAGCCGTACAGGTTGTTGGCATCGAGGTAGAGAATATGATTGTTTGGCTTGCTTGGGTCGTAGCCCTTCACGTATTGATTATTTGCTTTCGCGTATCGTTTGGTTACCATGGAAATCCCGCCTCGCAAGCCTTTCTCAATGAATAGGTGCATGTCTTAATCAGTGAGCAATTCCAACTTAACTCCGGTCTTTTTCAACAACGCATCCCACGACAGACCTGGGCTGGTGTAGTACCATGCGGGGTCGAGTTGATACTGCTTGAAACACGTCCGCCTAAACGTCTCAAACACATCGGCTAACAGCAGTACATCTGTCCTCAAGTACAGGTCGTGATAGTCACCCAGATTCTTACAGCCTTTTTTATTCCATACGTTAATCGCGTGCGAGTAATCGTCTTGGGATATTGTCGAGTCGGTCAGGTTGCTGTAAAATTCTCTGATGGGGGGTAGTCGGGTCTCGGTGAACTTGGCCCAGCCATCCATGTACTCATAGGGGTACACACCCTTCCTCATCAGCAGGGGTCTAGTCTCGGTGTCAGGATATCGATCGGTGATGGGGAAGGTATCGTTGGCCTTGACCAGACTGCCGAGTGACGACAGTAGGAACTGAACCGAGTCAATGAACCTAAGGCCGTTTAAGCTGAAGGAGATGTATCTCTCCATGTTGTTGGGCATGCACGTCAGGTTGCCGTCGACTTTCGCGATGGCCTGCATGATCAAGTGAGAGTCATACCCTCTCAAGTTGTGGAAGACCACAGGGATGTTTATTGTCTTGGGGGTGATTCTAAGCTTGAGGTTACACGCGCTGTGAGCGGTGCCTCTATACTTACCGCTGACGTGGCAGTGATCTCTCACCGAATCACCGTTCAGTGGTGAGTCACACACGTGGCAGTTAGTGCTAGAGGCGTGGGATAGCCGGTCGGCTTGGGTCATACGCATGGGAGCGACTGTATACAGTGCATTCCTGATAGTTTTTTCTTCCTACTGCAAACACTTTAGAAACTTTTCAGCCGCGTCGGGACCCCTGTACACTACGGGAGCTTTCGTTTCCCCATCACAACGGACGACCACGTATCCAAACCCACAGGCCTCATGCTCTTGTGTTTTGTGTGTGGTTGGGGTACCCAAAACAGCCCCGCCGGCGGCAACCTCAACAGGTTTGACCAAGGCTTCAAAGTTGGCGTAGATGACATAAGGCACAGACATTTGGTTCTTGTGGTTGCCGAATTTTAGGATATTGTCACCTTCCTTAAGCATGTCGACTCGTATGGCCGTCTGCCCCACACCTTGGCTATCTTCCCGGTGGGATTCTAATAAATCAGCTCGTGTGAAGCCGTGTAGGCACCGTTCGCAGAAGTGACTCTTTTCTCGGTGTGCCGATTGGTCGTACAACAGCCTGCTAAAATGTTTTATCCACGCGTAGTGGTACTTATCACGTCGCTGGATCATGAATGTATTGATAACGTGGCGACCCAGTTGGGGTTCCCCCAACGGACTGACCCTGTGAACTATTGTTGTGTTACCTTCGTGCCCAAAGACGTTTATGGCTATATCATTCTGTTTTTCTATTTTAGTTATCTGGGATATGGGGGTAGGTTCATCTATACCATCCCAGTTGAGCCCATCGTCTTGGGGATAACTAGAAGGCCTGTTCGAATTGGTGTCAGCTGGAAACAAGGCTGACCTGATAGCTAACCTCAGGCAATCGTCTCCTCTATTCTTGACGTTGACCATGCCCTGTTTTTTCTTATAGTAGGGGGGCAAGTCTAGGTATGACCCGCCTCTGAACGGCACGTAGTTAGCTATGTCTAGATAGACATTATCGATTTTATCTACAGCCCACCCGGACCCCATGTGTGTGTAGCATTCTATGTATTCTCGTATCTGCTGAAAACTGGTATC